GCCGCAGCCACGGCAACCTTCACCTTCCTGGTTTTCGCCCTTTTTACCTGGCTTTTTCTTTGACTACGTTTTCTTTTTTGATGGCTCTATCGCTAAAACTTTTTCTATACCGTCGCTAACGTCCTCAATAACTCCTACCAATTTCCAAATAACTTGAGACTTTTTGATCTCAGTGCATACGGATTCTGGTGTTAATGTTGCGTCGGATGTTGATGGCCGTTGCCACCTTTTCCAACCTACCATACGATCTTCTAATGCCATTCCTGTCTCTTTAAACACGTTCAAATCTTTAAACGTTTTCTTCTCGAGGTACCATTTGTATTTTGAATGTAAGCCTTCCACGAGAATGGCTAATTGACGCTTAACCGAGACCGGCGGATCGAAACGGTGCAAAATTGTTTGACAAGCCGCGATATAATCCGTTGTTTTCTTGTCTTCGCCTTGTGTTTTCTGCCTAAGGTCATCGTAAAGCTATTTCCTGTTCAATCGACGGCAAAATTCACCAGAAAAATTTTTTTTAGTCTTTCATCATCTTCCAATTGCCGCGATTTACTTCATATCACGAACGCCCCTTGTCATGGAACGCGATGTCTATCGCGATAAGCATCTCTTCGCCCGCAATGCCGTAGTAACGCTGATAATCGCTTAAACCTGACAAGAAACTCAACGCGTTCATATCGTCTTTACCTGAAAAGCGGACAGACCAAGCATTGAAGCATTGACCAAGGTCTCTCTTTTCGCGTATTGTAGCTATCGGTATCTGACAGATACGTACTCGTATCGCTTACCCCGAAAGTCTTTACTTTTTCTACTTACTTTTGCCTGTTTACTTCACACTAACCACACTTTTCTTATCCGCAACTGAACCTTTCCGTAACGAAGCCGGTGTTCGCGTTTTATTTCTCGTGGCTACCTGTACCTCGTGCTCTCAGTCTTCAACCCAAGAGTTGACCCTTGGCGCTCGGTACTTCGTGCTCGCTGACCTAATAAAATCAGCGTTGATACGCGTACTACCTACCCTACTCATTGGTGCGCTCATATACGCTGATTGCTCAACCGCAGTCGCGGGCATGTTTAGCGCCGAACGGTCGTCGGACGGTCTGGCCTGAGGCGGCAATGAAGTCTGCTGCTCGGCCTGAATCGCCCTACTTCTTTTTCCACTCAAAAAACCACATTCACATTATTCGTGATTCCCTGTCTGACTTCTCGCTTATAAATCGAATTAGACACGACTGTAAGGTCCTCTGACATTTGGCTTAACGTACTATTGCTACGCTCACCTTGATCTCGCGCGCGTATCCATCTGCGTTAGCTGATGGCAGACGAACCGCAGACGGCAACACATTTTCATCGTGCGTAGCCATGTTTCTGCCCGACGACTGGGTTTGCTTGCGAGGAATGGCCGCGCAGATTACTGTTGCGGCCTGTTCTTGCTTGCGCTGCAATCTAGCCGCCGAGCTCAGCAGCCATCGCGAGTTCGTCGCCGAAATTTTCGTTTCGCACATCGTCCGCTGCTACTTTCTGCTGTTCATCGCACACCAAATCGGGGATTAGGTCCGACGCAAAATCATCTAAATGCAGCGACGCTCGCAAATCTGGTCGCTCCTTAATTAATAAATATCTGACATATCGATCACGTAGCTCTTCCAACTCGTCGCGCAAGGTTAGTCTGCGATAGCGCATCAATCCTAACAGAACAATCGGTTCTGTTGAATCAATTTCGCATTTTTAATTTTTCGCAAGTGTATCACTTAATATTCTGCGCATGATTATTTTATCCCTACATGTCAGCGACATGATTGCGTTTGGAAAAAAAAAAATTCCGTGATCGAACTATAACGCGAGCTATTGGGACAAAATGTGCCTTGACCGCGAGCTACGTAACCCGTCACCCCTAAATACCTTATCTAAAATTCCGTCTAGTCTCTGAGCCAGCGAAAGGTTGCCGTGTTTAAGCCTAAGAAGAAAACCGTTCAAAAAAAAAATATCGTAAATAAGATACACAAAAGAAAACACTCTAAAGAAAATTCCTGCAGCCAAAACCAAAACAAAACAGAGAATTGTAAGCGGTACTGTGTCTGCATCTGACTTCAACGTGACTCATCATCGCACATGCTATTACCCGATTCCTCGATAAGAAAAGGTCACAAAGAAATCCAAACTTTCCAGAAACAACTAAATTCCTTCGCGAAAAAGCGTAATGAGCATGAATTTTTGCGGTTGGTTTACAATGAATGTACCATAATTTATTAATTTAACCGGCATTCGCTTTCTCTACCGATTTGCATCCTTCCCTACAAGGGATGCCATGTAACAGTTTTGATGTGCTATTACCTATTTTTAAAAGGTAAGGCAAGAGAGACACTTTCGCTCTAAATGCAATCAGAAGAGTAGGCGAGTAAATAAACTATTTTATTAATCTGTTAACCGAGCGGGACGTATAAATACGTCCAAAGTAAACAATATTGGGTACGGGTAGGACATATGAATACGTCCTCGATATTTATATTGCGCCCTGGAACGGGCGGGACGTATATTTTACTACTACTATGGTAATACGTCATTCATACACGTCTTAGTGGAAAAGGACGCGCCCGTTATATGTTGCGTAATTAGAAAGGGATTTCCCCGGTTAACAGGTTAATATAAAATGACAAAACTTTATTATTACCTCATAATTCAAAACAAACGCCCGCTTAAATTAATAAAAATCCAAACACATTAATCGTACGTTTACAACATTATGTATACTAATCGAATAACAATCGCGACTTATTCTAACACAAAGAAACCAGTATTCGTCTGGCTACTACGCACTTACAACTAAACCAAACACGCTATACAAATAATTAACGGCGAGGAATTAAAAGAATGTAGCTAGCAAGTGATCGCCTGGCTATCTATAAATTCCCGCGGCCGCACATCACTACGAGAGAGAGAACATCCGGAAGAGAGAAATAACCTGACCTTTATTTTCTCCTCAATGATCCCTGGGAGACGACGGTGGCAACGGCAGCGCAGGATGATCGCCCCGCTTCTCGTCGTTGACGCTGCTGCAGGTGGTGCGCACAATGACGAACGGCCAGGGCATAGGAATGGAAGGTAGCTAAACCTCTTCTTTGTAGGAAAGAATAATCGCCAAGATGATCGGCAGCGCGAGCTAATTCATTCAATCGTCTGACTTATATTAGTGGCTGACGTTGAGTGACGCAACGCAATATTCTCGCGCGGCCAGCAACCGCGCTCTCGTGGACTGTCCCCACCTAACCCAGTTTTTAGGCGGCGTGCGACAAAATGCTAAGTAGTCGCGCGTCACCCGCCTGCCTATAACCGCATAGCGCGTGCTCACGTGCGCACTATCTCTCTCTTTTTTTATAGTTCTCTCTCTCTTTCTTTAATTGTAGCGTCTCCTCTCGTTTTCCGACTACAGCGTTCTCTCTCACTCTTCTTAGGCTATCTCATCCGGGTCTGGTAATTTATGGCTGCTGAAAAAGAATTATATTATTAGATGCATAGAGAAAGTGTGCCCAATACTATCCACTGAGCCTGACCGAGGGCAAAGGGGAGAGGCAGAGGGCCCGACGAGAAACAGGCTACTGCCTATTCTTGTTACAAGTTTTTGCATTAAATATTTCAGAAAATGTACTTAAAGAGTGTTCGAGTGAAAAATAAATTACTTATCCAGAATTAATAGCTAGTTCTGCGTGTTAAGAACAGAATAAGAATTGTAAATCGCAACTGCAATTCATCTGACGACATATTACGTAAAATTATATAATCTATTTCTCAATAGTCTCATCTTTTTTATTTTATTTTGCGAGTGATCATATAGCCATACATTATGTATGATAACCCCCTGGAGATCTTCACTCTTCATTTTCTACTCTTCTTCTTGTCACGCTTTATGCCTGACTACTTCTCTTCTTGTCGTGTTCTAAAATAAGTAATAGACACAGATGAATATACATGTAAACATATGTATCACATGCACGACTTAGCTCTACCTCTGTGAGAAATCGGAAGATTAACAACTATGAGACATAGTGTTATTCGCTATTATTTTTTGTCACATCGTTTTTAAGCGACTGATAACTCGAAAAGATTATACCGGTAGTCATCCTTACAAATTATTCAATGCGCGAATTCGGCAAATGCTCCCATGAATAATATACCAAGCGTGTATATTAATCGCGCGCGAAACTAACGTCGGGATGAGGTTCGGTAACGGGCAAGATTCAACGACATTTATTTAATATAACTCACATTATTTATAAAAAAGAACATCTATATAGATGTGTGCCCTCAGTGATATCGCACTACCCAAACATAATTTAATTAGTGGCTCGAAATATGCAGCCCCCGCAAAAAGTTACTAGAAATTTACTCGGTAACCTCCTTCCTTTAAACTCGCTGAAACGCGACCAATAGATATAATAGTCACAGAGGCCCGTAAATCTTCTCGGCTATACATATATAAATTCAACGCTCGAATATGGAAGAGAGAGAAAGAAAGAGAGAAAGAATGGAGTAGAGTAAGCTTTATTTAGTCGTAGGGTATAATTCTGTAGACTGCAAATATATTTTGTTTAAACATGTATTAAATAATACAATAATAATAATAGTAATAGCATTCAGAGAAATGATTCGATCAGTAACGATAATTTGTTAATCACTAGAAAATATTTGAATTAAAACAGTTTGAATCAATTTAATTCAATTAATATCTAAAAAGAAATATACAGGGTGAACCATTTAGTCCAGGTGGCCAATTATTTCGTTCTGGAAGCATGATAGCGAAAGATAGTTCGGATAAAAGTTTTAGGGTTTGGAGGGGAACAGTCGACAGTGACCTTTAACTTAACCTTAAACTTGAGTTTTAAGGTCATTTGAAGGTCAACTTTGTTTTTTTAAAAGGAAACCCCTATTTTTTATCCCGGATTCGGATAGAGCGGGAAATTTTATGTTCAGATAACATTTAACTTCTAATATTTTTGTTACAGCGGTTTGTTTTTCGAGAAACATTTACAATACATTAAACTTAATGAACAGTTTATACCCTTCAGCAAGTTAAATTTAACGTTTTTAATAAAAGTAAGTAATAAAAGTAAGTAATTTATGAGTTTTCATGCTGTGATGTCTTTATTTCATAGTAAAATAATTTTACAGGAATATTATGACGTTTCATTCGTGAATAAAGTATACAAATCGGAAGTTGTAAGTTATACAGATTTGATAAATGAAAAAGTTGGGTTCGATGAATCTGTAAGGATTTCTTACTATACTCGTCAATCTTATAAAAATACTGCCCGACTATTTGGTTTAATGGATGACTTTAAAGTAAGTATCAATATTTAAATTCCTTATATAATAAATTTACTCCGATATATTAATTAGTACATTACGATACACATGCGGAAAAGTAGATTCTGGTCTCGTGTGGCGTTTACGCGAAACGAGGGTGGAAAGGTACAAGAAATGAGAAACTCTTTCCTGAATATGTGTCGTATCTTATTTTTTTATACGACGTGCGAAAAGTGTGATTTTCAACGTAAGTTTTTTGCCGAGCGTGCAAAGCTGCACGTTGTGCACGGAGTGTCGAAAAATGTATTAAAGATTTTCTTATTTCACGTTTATTATCTTCAACTATTAAAAATGTACTTTAATGAGAAATATTTGTTCCTTTGTGTTGTTAATCCCTCGTCAATAGAAAATCAGTAACAAAATTCTGAAATCAATAGGCTAAATCTGTCTCTTATCACAGTCTTGCATAATAATCAATATCAATCAGCTGTGGACTTTTACTACTTATTCATCAATCAACTTTAAAGTTCAAATATCTCAGAATTTTGTTTAAAAATGATTATGTTCGTGTAGAGATACTATGAAGTATTTTGACCTAAGTGAGTTCACGGCAACTTAAAACATAGAGTAAGTTGTTGTTTACTATGAATAATACGATACATTCAAGTTAAATAGTAACGAGCATGATCACTTTAAAGTTAAGGTATAAATATTTTAGCAAAGTATTCAATTTGAGTGCATAGGTTGTGAAAGTAACTTACTGCGCCTATATGCATTCTATAAAATAAAAATGATCCATTATCGAAATTTCCTTTAAGGTGATTGCGTGTGTGCAATGCATTAGTCGCATAATTACAGCTCCTTTCCAATAAAATAAATTGTAAGTATAAAACTTACATTTTTTATATAGTTTTAAAAGAAGTAGATTAGTAAGTAAAAGCAAGATTGACAAATATCTTGGCATAAAAAACATCGAATTTATTAATTTTGATAACTACTGTGTACCATACACAGCTGTATTGCAATGAGGGACGGTAGTCTAAAATGTGAACCTTCTAGTTGCCTCTTAATCTACTAGATTACTAAGACTTAATAAGTTATCTTTCAGTGGTGATAAATATACAGCGTGAATCATTTTAATCGAGGTGTGACATATGCATATATACATAATACTAACGATGAAGAGCTCTCCAGGAAGCACTATGAAGAGCGGTACAAGGGCGCGATGTGCACACAGAGTAACGGCTATTTTGAGTCGCTTAAATCGCCTAAGTAAGAGAAAACGACACAGACTAAACAAGAGCGAGCAAGACAGACTAAACTACTATAAGCGAGATAGACTAAATGAGAGCGAATGAGACAAACTAAGTGAGATCAACAGAGATAGAATACAGGAAATATTGCGAATAATGCGAATTAAAGCATTAAAGCAAAATTAAAATTGGCGCTGCAAAATGAACCATGCAGTGGAATATGTCAATGACATACGTATGATTCATATATTGTATCAAGGCGATTAAATAAAATAAAAATGAAACGACTAACTAACAACAAAATGAAATAAAATAAAAACAATAAATTTACCGGTAATTGACTGTCGCTATATATACTCATCAATGAATACTTAATGAAACGTATGAAAATTACAATGCACAAGCAAATATATCAAAGAAAATCTAGTTACATACATACAAAATATTTGAAATAGAATAATCATATGAATTAAGACTCTAATGTTATATGATTCATAAATAGGATACTGTATCAAACGAATAGGTAGATATACAGGGTGTCCCATTTTAAAGGAACCACCCCGAAATTTTCGACGGTTGGCATTGTACAAAAAAATTGTTCAGACAACAGTTGTTTGGGACAATGGGGGCAACCTTTCTGTGAAATCCGATTTGACCTAGAGATTCATTTTCAAGGTCATTTGAAGGTCAAAGTCATTTTTTGAATAGGAACCTATATTTTTGATCCCGGATTCGGAAAGAGCGGGAAATTCTACGTTCAGATAACTGATCTTTTTCAGGTACATAATTGTAATGAGAAATAATATTTATTTCTTGAACGGTTATAATATTTTAATTGCATAGAAAAGTGCGCGGGATTTCCCTAACTATTAAACACATACGAGTATATATCTATAAAAATTGAATTAATATTTTACATAGATTCAATTTCTACTGATCTCGGAATGTTCAATTTTTTAAATTTTTATGAACAAAAGTTAAAATGCGCGTAATTGTTAATAAGTTTTGTTGGTCCTTGACAATCATGTGCAGTTTTTATATAATTTTTCTACGTCAATTTTCATCAATTTTCCGCTCAGTTCCTTCATCCACACTTAGAATTTTTTTCTTTTTTTAAATAGACATGACTTTGACATTTATAAATTTTCGCGATAAAAATAGAATTTTATGTGCCAAAATAATGATAGAGTGCATTGCATTGCCTAATTTATTTCTTCACAAGTGGCTGGACAAAAGGCAACGTTTAAAATAAGACTACTAGTAAGTATTTGTGTATATACAGGGTGTCCCATTTTAACTTTCGAATGAAGATTACTCGGAGATTTAATGGATATTGGAAAAAATGTTTCAGATGAATGTTTTTCAACTTTGAGGGGGCCATATTATGGTGACTTTTTCATGACCTTGAAGGCCATTTTTAAGGTCATTTCAAGGTTAAATTCATTTTTTTAAATGGCAACCCCTATTTTTGACACCGGATTCGGAAAGAGCGGGAAATTTTACGTCCAAAACGGTATTTCAAAATTTTTTTCATGGCCTTGAGAAGGTCGATTTAAGGTCAATTTCTTGATAAACTGGCTACGGGTGATTTTTTTTAATATTTAAGATATCGGAAAATGACCTCTACAAAATTTGTACATAACAGAGTTGGGCCCCTGAGGGTATCAACAACTTTGACCTTGAACTTTATCTACAAGGTCATTTCAAGGTTAAAGTGTTTTTTTAATGGGGATCCCTATTTTTGACATTGAATTTGAAAAAAGCGAAAAGTTTTAAATGTAAACTCACATTTTAAACTTTTTACAATTACCTTCAGAAGATCAAATCAAGAGTAAATACTGAAAATTTGCTAAAAATCGTTTACTTTAAGCTTTTAAAGTTTATGAACGAGTAAATATTAAGATGAACTCGTGAACCAATGCCCTTGAGTATTTTGCTCTTGAATGCAGTTTTTAAGATTATTTTAAGATCAAAGTAATATTTTTTAAGGCAACGCCTATCTCTGACACCGGATTACCACGATTGGAAACAATAATAATTTTTAGGCTCTAAATAACTAAATTATTATTTTTAAATTGTAACAAAATAACATAAAATTGAACATGAAATAATTGTCAAAAAATAATGATCTACGGCTATTAATTAATATTACTAAACTAATATTTAAAATTATAAATTTGACTCGAGTGTAGTTCAATGTATTTACGACGGTACGTGTTTATTTTCATTGTCAGTGCTTTTTGTTAATAATAATTTTTACTTAATCAACTGTCAAGAATTGAGTTGGTATCCCTTATTAGAAAATTTGCTATGACTAGTATTGTTATGTGCGCTTCATGCAATCTTTCATAGGAAGCATGATTCTTTCGGCGTATCTTAGTTTCTACGATACTATTTTGTTCCTCATTATTAAAATACTATGACTTCCGCAAGTTTTTGAATTTGCGATATTTTGAAAAAATATAGCAAATTATTCAGCAAATGAATGCGTTGAAATACTACTGATTCTTGGAGAATGCCGTCGTTATTATACTGCTGTTGCTCGGCTGTATGCCGAACGTTTTCCCGACCAGCGTCATCCGAGCAATGTGCAAATAAGAAATATTGAAAGACGCTGTCATACAAATGAGCTACATCGACAGAGACGTAGACAAAGAAATTTAAATAGTAATGATGGAAGACTTATTACCGTATTGGCTATGGTTCATTTAAGCCCTCATATAAGTACAAGAACAATTGAACGTCAAATCGGAATTCCTCATTCTACAGCTCATCGTATGTTAAGATCAGTGCTTTACCACCCATATCATATTACACTGCATCAGGAGTTGATTGAAAATGACTATTTACTCAGAATGGATTTCTGTAGATGGGCGCTCAATCAACTAAATGAGGATCCAGATTTTTTTTGGAATGTTTGTTTCGGTGATGAGGCTACCTTTAAAAGTGATGGTACCCTTAACAGGCATAATTCTCACTACTGGTCTCCTGTTAATCCTCATTGGCATCGAGAAGTAATTAATCAACATCGCTGGAACGTTAATGTTTGGGTCGGAATCTGTAATGGACAGATCGTTGGCCCGCATTTTTTTAATGGTACTGTCAACGCTAATAGATATATCGACTTTCTGGAAAATGATCTACCTGGATACTTGGAAAACATTCCGCTGAATGTTCGACAGCAAATGTGGTGGCTACAAGATGGTGCTCCAGCTCATTTTGAAAGAAACGTAAGAGCATTTATAAATAATCGATTCCCAAATCGTTTGATAGGTCGTGCTGGGCCAGTTCCTTGGCCATCAAGGTCACCGAACCTTAATCCATTAGATAGTTATTTCTAGGGATATTGTAAAAATGTTGTTTACGAAGACGCGCCTACGACTAGATTAGATATGATCGCGAGGATCAGAAGAGCTTGTGCAGCAGTCACTCCCGAAATACTTGAAAATGTTATGAATAATTATCGACATAGACTGGAAATTGGCTTGGCGAATAATGGAGGACCATTTGAGCATCTTATGTAATTAAATTTTACAAATATTATTAGTTCATTTAATTCTAATTGAAATTTTTTTTGTCGATTTGGAAAATATTGTTTAATTAAATAATTATCATTATTCGTTAAATGAAATATTTATCGTAATTTTAAGTTTTTTAAGAAACCAAAATTACTGTAAATTTAATAAAGTTACCTTATTCTAAAATCTCTATCAACATTTATTTTATTCTACCCATTCAACTTTTCCAATTACGAAATCAGAAATTAAAAAGATCGTTTTATGC